AGAAACCTTATCGAAATTCTAAATTTGTCTTATGCACAGTTTTAATGTTAAAAGTATTCATATTCTCATTTAAAATTTAAAAATCCACCGAATAATTATAAAGAAAAGACTAAATACTCTTATACTAAATACTTATATGTCATGCTATATGTTTCCTTAATAAATGTTATTTTTTAAATATTTTTTCTTTTAATAAGAAATCAAAAATATTTCTGATAAGATTGGGAATTTTTCATTTTTCTAAAAGATTCCTTTAAAAAAACGCAATTAGCCTAACCAGTGGCCGAATTTAAAGAATTTGAGCGGCGGTTTAAATATGGTTGGTTCCACTTAAAATTGTATCAAATGTTTCAAGATTTAAGCCGGCGCTTAATTTAAACCGCGGCTCAAATTCATTAAATTCCATCTCAGGACTGGTAAACATTTACCAAGTTACATATTTTGGATAGTTAAGTGAGAATTCATTATACAACGTAAAAATGAGTTTGGTTTATGAATGTTTTAATATAACGCTTTAATGACGTTTGATAAGAATATTTTCAAAATAATAATCTAACCATCATGCATATTTCTCTTGAAATTGTTTACAATGATAAATAATTTATATTTCAGTTATAAAGATTATATACAAATACAATGGATACATATTGTTAAATAATTTTGCGTACACTTTACAGTTTATAAAATCCTTCACATATAATCTTAAACTTCACAGCAGAATGTGTAAATTTTGGAAAAAATATAATATTTTTTTTGAACAAAACGATAATATTTGTTTACTATTGCTGAAATTAGATAAGGCAAGGAAATAAATAGGCAGCCAAAACATGGCAAGACTTTTATTATATAGTTTGTATTTTATTGTAATTTTAACAAAAAATAATTATTTAAGTGCAAAAATATTGCTTGCGGCATATTTCGATGCAAAATAATGCACATTTAGTTAGTTTATCGGGACACAGTCCTCTGCCGCTTTAGTAATTGTAAATTTGCGGTACAGTCCAATGTAGGACTGCAAAGGTTGGCCCGGCTCGGACATCCTAATGTACACCACACCGGTGGGGCGCGGCGTGGGGACCGAAACCACTTTCAGACTTGTCGAATAAGATATAAGATGCTGGATCTATGATGTAGATATATAGATATTTGCATTATTATGTATAAATTAAATATTTTTTTAATGGCTTAAAGGGCTTAAAAGAATCGCAGCAGGTTCGAATCATGATGGTATCTTTTAAACCTTTGTAATACAGTGATAACCAGAAAACTCTGGAATAGGATAACGAACCAATAATTAAGTGTATTTGATGTTTACCCAAAGCAAATAGTTTCACTAGTAACTTATTGAATTGATTATTGAGTGAAATGGTTCTGTTTACACTGCACAATTGTTTTTAAATAATCGATCTGATAAAGGTTTAGAGGATACCCAGAATTATAAACAGGAAACAACATATTTAGATTCGATATGTTTTTACATTATTCAGCTTCCACAAATTCCATTTTACAATAATATTGTAGAATTACATTATTGAGAGTTGTTAAATTACATTATTTAAAAAAACCTAAAACATTTCAGGCCACTTTTGTAAATCAAGTTGATTTTTGTAAATGAATTCTGCTCTATTTTTACGTATTTTATAAACAGCTTTTTCTGAGAAATTAGATTCTATTGATGTGAATTATAAATTGGTAACTAAAAAGAGTAAAAAAATTAAACATTTTTACATTTTTTGTACATGAATCGATTTGGGTAAATAAAATAAGACGGTAAATAATGCCTAAAAAAGAATAAAAATGCATCAAGATAATTCTAATAGAAAATCAGTGTTTAATAATTTTTTTTTGGGGGGGGGGAGAGAGGAATATTTAATTATTTTATATTCATTTTTTTGTTTAAAAAATTATACTGTTTTTCTTGCAGATGCAGACATATGGCGCCAAAGTAATAAATATTGAGCGAGATAATGGCCCCCTGCCGTGACAGAAACCCGACACCCATCCGTTTTGAGGAGAGACGGATTCAGGGTCTTTTCGGTCTAAAAACGACTCTCTTATTAGTACTAAAACAGAGTCGGTAGTACTAAAACAGAGTCGGGCCGGCGCCCGTTTTTGTGGTCGTGCGGGTCGTTTTCAGACTCTAAACAGCGTCGCTTGTTCTATGCGGGTTAGGGTTACATACCTTTATATTTTTTATTTCAGTGAAATTGGTTCAATTTAACAAGGAAATTATTATGTCTAGCTGCAGGCAACTTGTTGTCATCCGATAACTTTGATAAACACTGCAAAGACAAAATGACGATTTAATTTTTATTTTCTATATTAAGGTTGGAGAGAAGCACACCTTCTGGTTAGTGGGGAGGAAGGATCAAGACAATATTAAAAAAGAATAAAACAAATATTCAATTGAAGTTACCCAGGATTACATTAGTCTAAACTTCTGTAAAAATCTGTGCCAATTTTTAAGACAGGATTGAATTTAGCTTTAGTTTCAAGGAAGTAATTTGCTTAATTTTGATTGTTGTGTGAAACTTTGCAACCTTTTGCGGGGATCACTGTGGGATGGAATGACGGTTTCTTACCTTTACTTNAACTTATTGAATTGATTATTGAGTGAAATGGTTCTGTTTACACTGCACAATTGTTTTTAAATAATCGATCTGATAAAGGTTTAGAGGATACCCAGAATTATAAACAGGAAACAACATATTTAGATTCGATATGTTTTTACATTATTCAGCTTCCACAAATTCCATTTTACAATAATATTGTAGAATTACATTATTGAGAGTTGTTAAATTACATTATTTAAAAAAACCTAAAACATTTCAGGCCACTTTTGTAAATCAAGTTGATTTTTGTAAATGAATTCTGCTCTATTTTTACGTATTTTATAAACAGCTTTTTCTGAGAAATTAGATTCTATTGATGTGAATTATAAATTGGTAACTAAAAAGAGTAAAAAAATTAAACATTTTTACATTTTTTGTACATGAATCGATTTGGGTAAATAAAATAAGACGGTAAATAATGCCTAAAAAAGAATAAAAATGCATCAAGATAATTCTAATAGAAAATCAGTGTTTAATAATTTTTTTTTGGGGGGGGGGAGAGAGGAATATTTAATTATTTTATATTCATTTTTTTGTTTAAAAAATTATCCTGTTTTTCTCTGCTTAGTAAACCCTATAAAAATAAAAAATAAATATATAAAACAAATATATTAAATAAAATTGTTTTGGAAATGTTCAATATTAATAAATGATTTCATATAACATATATGATAAAAATATGTACAAGTTTTAATTTTGAATTTATAATTTATAAAGATGAGTACCTTTTAACACCAGCGAATGGTACGACTAAAAACACCAGATATGTTTAAAAAAAATTAGATAATTTTGATTAAAGTTTATTTTTAGCTAGGCTGATTAGAAGTTTCATATCCTTCAACCGGGGTTTTCTGAGTCTTCCAGTTAATGAAGATCTGAAAAAACGTAAATTTTAGTAAATATATTGGTTTTTTATTACTTTTTAGAAGAAAAATATCTAATATCCTAGCGGGAATTTGAATCTAATCTGAAGAGTTAAGCATGAAAAAATGCTGTTCAATTTGTTGTTGTTTTAATTTTATCATCAGAAACACATCCTCAATTATGTACGTAAAATCTTAAATAAATAAAATATTTAATTATGCAACTGCTTTGTGGTATGTGACGGGATAAAATATTTCTTTTATGTTGAGATTTTGACTTGATTTTGTTTGTTTGAAGTTTAAAATTTGAGATTAAATAATAGGAAATGAGCCTCTGCCACAAATTTTTATTTTCTGATCCCCATATCTTTGCAACCCAAGGGCCAAGACCTTGGATATTTCATACTATGAATTATGTAGAGGATCAAATAATTTATGTTTGAAATATTAAAGCTTCACACCATTAGGTTGCAAAGATGTAGGGATAAAAAAATTTGAGCTTGTGGTAAAGACTCAATTCCTTTACTAACAATGTCAATTTATTTTATAATGTGTGTAACATTTTTTTTATATGTCGGAAAATAATATTGTAAAAATGTACCTGGCTGGATATTTTCTGTACTCACTGATCACATGATCTCTGTTTTCTGAAGTTTTAAAAACGATCATGATCGTTGATTCTCCATCTTCTTCTCTAAGTATAAATAATGTAAGACTTTTTAATTCAAAAAGATGGACCAGAGAATGCGTTATACTCTTCTGAAAAAAGAAACTTTTATCGCAATTTCAAGTTCGACGCTCCATGTAAAGAGGGTGATGCCCGATTTACAACGGTACCCTTAAAATCTTTGTGTGTTCGTAAAGTATTGAGATATGTGTGTGTAAACTTATCGAAACCCGCTTGTGAATAGCTGCATGTCTAGGACGTCAAGTACATTTTGTACTTGTATACCTTGAACTATGAATACTTTGATAATATTGTTCAGGATCCAGGTTTAGAGGAGATAGGATAGAGTCAACAACATTCTCTTCTTCACCCTCAGCTACATCGTTAATCTAGGAAATAAAGATAGATAGATAGATAGATAGATAGATAGATAGATAGATAGATAGATAGATAGATAGATATAGATAGAAAGATAGATAGATAGAAAGATAGATAGATAGATAGATAGATAGATAGATAGATAGATAGATAGATAGATAGATAGATAGATAGATAGATGGATAGATAGATAGATAGATAGATAGATAGATAGATAGATAGATAGATAGATAGATAGATAGATAGATAGATAGATAGATAGATAGATAGATAGATAATCACCTTTTCTAAAATTATTCCATTTTCTGTTAACTCTGTTATTTTGTCAACATTGAGAGATTCCGTATCCTTCTTGTTCTTGTGCTTCTTGTTCCTCTTGTTCTTCTTGTTGGTGTTGGTGGTGTTGTCCTCTACAGCGTCCTCCTGCTGGTCCGAGGTTGTATTTCCTCTCACAACAATGATGGCATTATCCTCCAATACTTCTGTGGCCTAAGATAAATTACATAAAAAAATAAATAAAGTTTATGACGGGACTGAAAAAATAATTATTCAGAACGGAAATATGCATTTAAAAGGAATATTTCCCTATTGGCTCACCCTACTGTACTCTGCACTCTGAAGCCTTTAGCTGTACTACATACCTGTGTACTGCTTGGTCTCTCATGCTCTTTAGCTGTACTACATACCTGTGTACTGCTTGGTCTCTCATGCTCTTTAGCTGTACTACATACTTGGTCTCTCATGCTCTTTAGCTGTACTGCATACCTGTGTACTGCTTGGTCTCTCATGCTCTTTAGCTGTACTACATACCTGTGTACTGCTTGGCCTCTCATGCTCTTTTTGTTTAATCATCTTAACAGACTCTGCATAACAATATCTTGAGAACTTCTCCTCTAAATAAATATTCATTTCAAGGTTTCGTTAGAATTTTTGTGCACATTAGCCAATATTTATTCATCTGTTTATAATAAATATTAAATTTATTTATAGATTGAGAAAATTTTTTATACTTTTCTATATGTCATAATTAACAATAACCATAATAAATCAATTAATCTTTGGTTAGAGGGACAAGGTAAATGACAAAAAAATTATATATTTTTATAATTATAATTAAGTCAAGATATATTTATCAAAGTTGGAACATAGCAGAAGACGACATTCCTTATGTTTATTCACTGAAGAAAAAAATGTACAGTATGTCCCATATCACATTTGATTGTGCTTGGTATCAAATTTAAATTTTTTAGAAACAATAAAAATTATAAAAGATTAAATTATTTTAAAATAGTGGTACAGTAAGAACCAGAAAACTATGGAATTAGATGACGACATTAAACCAATCTTTAATTGTTTGTGATTACATAGCTAATAGTTTACAAAAAGCTAAAAAATCCCATATCTGCAAGTGAAACGTGCAAATGCTATTTTTGATGTTTTTTGAACTATTTAAAATCATCACATGAGTCTAAAAGTCGTCTTTTTATTCCTCAGTTTTCTGGTTCTCACAATATAATTCTTTTATGAAAATATAGGGTTCTGCTAATGGCTTTATTTTGGCTTTAAGGCTCGTTATTTCATTATCGTGTTTTAAAATATTAACTGCGGTTGTATAAAATCGGGGAACTTTTGTTGAGAAAACTTTTTACAAAACTAAATTACAACGTTTCTTTAAATTATTCTTCGGCCCTCTTTGGAAAAATTAATGAATATAAAACTATAAATCTCAGTTTATGAAGTCTTGTTCTTTATTTTAATTCTTATAATTATGTTATTATTCAAATGTTTATAACTACAGATCTTCATTCCCGCTAATATGTTTTTCCAGTTCACCCCTCCCCTGTTTCTTTGCAAACTTATCCATATATAGTATATATACGATCTTGATTTCTTACTCTATAGTCTAATTCTCTGATAAGTATTCATATTTATTTCCTTCAGTTATTTGTTTTCGCAACTTACATTTACCTGATATATTATTTATTAGTTGGCCACAGATTGTTTTAATCCTATTGTCTTATCAGAGTTCATTCGAATTATGTTATAAATCAGTTTTGGCCAATCTTGTAGTAGCTGTCTTATCCAATTGTGTTATGCCTTGTCCGACTGAGTTTGCCTTATCCAACCTTAGTTTTGCCTTATCCACCCTGAGCTTTGTCTTGTCCAACCTAAGTTTTGCCTTATCCAACCTGAGTTTTGTCTTATCCGACTGAGTTTGCCTTATCCAACCTGAGTTTTGCCTTATCCAACCTGAGTTTTGTCTTATCCAACCTAAGTTTTGCCTTATCCGCTAAGTTTTGCCGTATCCAACCTGAGTTTTGTCTTATCCAACCTGAGTTTTGTCTTATCCAACCTGAAATTTGCCTTATCCAACCTAAGTTTTGTCTTATCCAACCTGAAATTTGCCTTATCCAACCTGAGTTTTGCCTTATCCAACCTGAATATTGTCTTGTCCAACCTGAGTTTTGTCTTATCCAACCTGAGTTTTGTCTTATCCAACCTGGGTTTTGTCTTATCCAACCTGAGTTTTGCCCTATCCAACCTGAGTTTTGCCTTATCCAACCTATGTTTTGCCTTATCCAACCTGAGTTTTGTCTTATCCAACCTGAAAATTGCCTTATCCAACCTGAGTTTTGCCTTGTCCAACCTGAATATTGTCTTATCCAACCTGAGTTTTGTCTTATTCAACCTGAAATTTGCCTTATCCAACCTGAGTTTTGTCTTATACAACCTGAGTTTTGACTTATCCAACCTGAGTTTTGCCTTATCCAACCTGAGTTTTGTCTTATCCAACCTGAGTTTTGCCTTATCCAACCTGAATATTGTCTTATCCAACCTGAGTTTTGCCTTATCCAACCTGAGTTTTGTCTTATCCACACTGAGTTTTGCCTTATCCAACCTGGTGTCACTTTTTTTATGAGCAGGGAATTGTTTCTAAGAAGAATCCCTGACTCTGCTGGATCCGGAGCCAGGGTTGTCAGCTGATCCTCTCCGACGTCGGAGGTTCTAGAGTCATCGTCGAGGATTCCCTCCTAAGAAATAGAGTTTTTCATAAATTGGCTTGTTTTGAAAATTGATCAAAAGGATTTTGTTTCACAAAGTAAAAAATCAGAATGAAATACAGGGTTACCCCCCAAAAGATGAGATTTCAGTGACGATTGTACGATTGTTCGGAATTTATACCGCCTGCATCCTTAAATTTATTATTCTCTGCATCTAAAAATTGGTCTCTTTCTATGCCCAATCATTAAAAATGCAACAAAAAAAATATAATTTAAGGCAAAAGACTTAATTCAACCTTGGAATCCTCGCATGTAAAGAGTTTTAGGTCGTATTTATAGTATCATCCTTTGTGGGTAACCCTGTATTAATGTTGAATAAGCTAGGAGTTTTTGCACAAAGTTTATACCATTTTAATTTTAAATGTAATCCAATTTACAATGTTTTATCACACTATGTGCGCGTTGCAGTCTTTTTTAAATTAGGCCCTATAATCATTGCTTCTAATTAATAAAAAAATTCTAGGTTTCGAGGCCGCTTCCTACTTTATGGTAATCCTCTATCTGAAACTATTTGAATACGTAAACAAAGTAAAAATGTTGCGAATTTTCATTTTTCATTTTTGGGATTATCATTTTTTCATTGCTTTGTGGATTTACAAAGATTATTTTAACTTCTTTCTGAATTCTGCCTGAATATTTTGTTGTGACTGTATTACAGATTTAACAGCGTGGGTTTTCTGAAGGTCATGATGTTTATTCGTTATTATTTTTCTATATAGAACCACAACGGAAATGGAGCTGTGCAAAATACCTGCGAGGTGATATAAAAAGAAAAGTTGAAGAAAGAAATGTATTCCTAAAATTGGGGGGAAAATATAAATATTTGATGAAATGAAATCCAAAACAAAAAAAGTATAAATTAAAAGCTTTACTTTGTTTACTTGTAAACTTGTAATTTTAAAAAAGTTTATTAGAAATCTGAACTTAAATGGATAAAATCGTCTTTATTGTATTGATATAAACGCCGACCACTATATTAACTTACCAAATCAGTGGAGTTTCTGGCGTCAATAATCTCATATTCAACAATTTTCTAAAATATAAAAAGTTTTATTTTTAAATATTTCCTTTTAATAATCTTTCATCTAAATTCAGAAACCCTAAAAATATTGATTGGTTTAGCGGATAAGTAAAAATAAATTATATCTTTTTTTCGGTGCAAAAAAAGAGCTAAAATTAATTCGAAAATTGTAATGAGATACTTTTTAGAATATTTCGTAGAAGAAATTAACCAAATTTATGTTAAAGATTTACATAAGAAGAAGTTTTTTTTCTTTAGAATTGGAAGACTGAAACAAGTTTGAAGATAATATATATATACAGAAATTTTTATATTGATTTTTTCTGTTTTTTTATTTTAGCTTTTCCTTTTGCTTTTTATTTAAATAAAATTTTGTTTAAATTGTAAATTCCTTTTTTTAAAGTCTCAATATCTTGACTTACTAAACCTAAATTTGGAACTGAACACTTTATCGATGCAAGCTCTATTACTCAAATCACGTAATCTATGATATTTCAAGCTTTAATTTAATTAGCTGATCTAACAGAAATAAAAAATTGAAATCAGTTTGTAAAGATATAAAGTTGAGAAAAAAAGAAAATGTAGCGAGTACAGTTCCTTCAGGGGTGAACCTATTTTACCGAAAATGTAGCGAGTACAGTTCCTTCAGGGGTGAACCTAATTTACCGAAAATGTAGCGAGTACAGTTCCTTCAGGGGTGAACCTATTTTACCGAAAATGTAGCGAGTACAGTTCCTTCAGGGGTGAACCTATTTTACCGAAAATGTAGCGAGTACAGTTCCTTCAGGGGTGAACCTATTTTACCGAAAATGTCAAATGAATTTTGTAACAAATTATACGGTGGTAAATCATAAGGAACATTTATAAAAAACCTCCATATTTCGAAAACTGTAAAGGCTAAAAAAAATTGTTTGTTTTTTGTTATTCTGACAATTATGTTTTTAAATCACCGGGTTTTTACTTATTTGTTGCTCAATTTTCAAGGGATCTTTACGAAATTAACGTTTCTGAACATAGTGTTTTAACACAGAATGATTTATTTTGACGATTTATTTGTTTACATTAATGATAATTTTCACAAAAAAATAAAAATTCTCAATAAGTTTGTAAAATATAAAAAATTTTTTTTTTAATTTATCAAAGAAAGTTTTAAAATTGGTGCTTGGTGAATCAGAGCATTATCATAAAAAATGCAGAAAATAGTTTCATCCATTACAAAAGTACACTCAAAAAAAGTTCTTTGAATTTTGCCACTTACTCTTTTTAAACTGAAGCTCGAGCCTAGCATGGTATATTTTAAAAATGTCCATGTCTAGGGCTTTTAAAAGTGGGAAACGTTACATCGTCTATACTTGACATCCTCTCTACTGAACTTCTAACCAACTAATTTTCCATGCATGCTGTTGTAAATACATGTGCAAGTAGGTCAGAAGTTTAGAATAGCGGATGTGCGTAGGTCGAAATATTCAACATCCTCTCTCGAGCTCTGTGTGCAGTCGTCTTTAAAGGCTTCTCCTTTGTGGGTTACTCTTATAAAGAAACTAAAACTTTATATTTACCTCGCCATTTTCAACAGAGTCAATATGTCCGCTCAGCATGTGTAGATAGGTGTCCACTTTGCACAGTAGAAACTAAATATCAATTAAACTTTACTTTTTCTCGCTAGAAATTATAACAGTGAAAATATGATATATATTATTATGGTGCAATTATCTTTTATTGATGTCTTTTCAGAATAGAGCTAATTGAATCTACTTAGAAAAAAATTCCATGACATAAAAATCGAAAAATTTTATGTCATGGAATTTTTACTAGATAGGTTTAGTAAGGTGGGTAAAAATCTAGATATGGTATTGTAAAATTGGTGAGCAATAGGATGGGTCGATTTTTTTTCACTTAGAGCTTAGAATGTGTGTGGACAAGTACGCCTAAATATTCCAAGAACGTTCATCATCAAACCAGTAAGAGGCAAAAAAATGGTTTTTGTATTACAAATTTAGCTTAATCCCGTAAACATTCGTTTTTTGACCATAGATTAAAATGTTTCGACAATATTCAGTAATTTTGGTCTTTCTAGTTCTGTTTTTATCTAATATTTCCTCAAAATGACTCTCAACTCACAATAGTTAAGCACAGGTATATCAATAGGGCCCTAAGCTTGGTTCCAAAATCGACCCATCTAAGTGAACGGGGGGGAGGGATGTTTTACCCATCTAAGTGAACGGGGGGCATGTTTTACCCATCTAAGTGAATGGGGGGGAGGGATGATTTACCCATCTAAGTTTACCTTAGGTTTAAAAATATCTCTAAAGCTTATTCCTTCCTCCACCAATGGAATCATTCTACCAAGTTTACTAAAAAATTCTTTAATAACTCTTTAAACTAAAAATAATTTATGATTTTTTTCTAATCAACTTTTCTTTTGAGAAATTATTGATTAATAAAGCCAATTGTTTGTGTCAAAAATCAAAATGAAAATTGAAAAAGAAAAAAATTTGTAGAAAACTTCTACGACATCCTCTCCATTGCATGTTCGTCTGATAACGGTTTAAAGAGTATCATTGTGAATCAGACACACCGTTCTATAAATGGAGATGAGATAGAAATACCGTCAACAGTTCCTTAATGGTTAATAATTAAAGGGAGGGTTCGCGAAAAATAAAAAGGAGGTTTGGCTGAATCCTAGTCAAACTCATATATGATACTCAAATGTAACCCTTAAACTGTAAACCCATTTTTAGATAGAATTCAGATCTCACGTTCAGAAATAAAACAAAATTAAACATTATTTCGAATTTTGTTTTTATACCTATAAACTTTTAACTTCATAGTTTCTCATTCATATTCTTCTTTACGTAATTTTTAATAATACAACCTATGATGATTAATAACTTCATAGTTTCTCAATCATATTCTTCTTTACATAATTTTCATTTATACATTCTTTGATGATTAACTTCATAGTTTCTCATTCATATTCTTCTTTACATAATTTTCATTTATACAACCTTTGATGATTAACTTCATAGTTTCTCATTCATGTTCTTTTTTACATAATTTTCATTTATATAACCTATGCTGATTAACCCTATCCCTGCTGGGGTACTTGAAAACCCCATGTTTTATGTCCAAATATGACAAATGATACATCATTAGAAAGCTCTTGTGCTCTACTTTTTAAACTAGTTCTTTCACAATACATTCCGTACAGATCTTCAGGGAGAACTCAGAAATACCCAGGGGTGACAAGCAGACTTTCTACACGCAGCATGGCTCGCGTAACACTTTTACAGGTAGAAAAACGATTCGAACACGCCGTGCATGAATTTTGTTTACAGTCCCTTTACACATGATTTACGAAAAAAGGATTATACAAATTGGCATTTTTTTTAAATTCGTAAAAAATACTTACTCTTTTCCGTGGACTTTGCCGGCAATAAGTGCTCCCATTTTGTTACTACTAAGTGGAGAAGTGACGGACCAATAATCTTCACATATATCCGGATTCAAAGTGTCACAAACACCATTTTCACCCTTAAAATATGATATCATTGTTTAGAATAATATTTTTATATTCCCTAAAATGTTAGATAAATTTTTTCGATTGGGGCTTGAAAGATGTTTTTCAATACTTTTTTCTCCTCGTCGTCTTCTATTTCTGTCTATTATGAAATGCCGCCGCAACGGATTTTTTATTTTGCAACTAAATTATTTCTAATTTTTAATTGGGTCACCCAAACATTTCAACAGCTTTAACAGTTGCAAAAGTTGAAAATTACAACATCTTATGTTGTCGAAGACGATATTTATTCCAATTTTGTCTGGTTCTCATCGTATAGAAATTAGCGTTTCCAGCAAACATGGGGAAATCGATTCGTGAAAACTCCGAAATTTTCTTAAACACAAATGCGAAGCTTTCGGAAAAAATCTTATTTCGGGAAGTTTCACATTTTATCTTTCGCTTTAAGTATAATTTCGCGAAATTGTCGAATATTTTATTTTCACGAAAATTTCGCATCATTTTTGCTTCCTTTCTCAAAATTTGTTTTCGCGAAACAGTTTGCAAATACGGCAAAAAATTTCGTAGAATTTCGCATTTTTTCGCGAAAATTTTCGTTTGCTGGAAACCCTAGCAATGTATATTCTTTTCATTTATTAGATATATTGTGAGTTTACCTGGAAAAATCCCAAAATTCCTGCTCGCATAAAATTATAAGATCCTCGATCTCGGTCAAACAAACCGAGCACATCTACAGCCAAATCCATCAAACTAGGGAGAAACAACGCAATCGTTATACATGGGTCTGGGTCACCCCGGACTAACCAGAGTTAGAGGCATTCGGTTTCTTCTATTTGAAACAAAGAGAATGGAATATATATTAGAGTGGAATTTACTAGAAATAAGTGTAAAACGGCCATTTTGTTGTACTGTTTCTCCATACTGTAGGTGTACTTTACATATTTGCGCTAAATAACCTTTTGGGCCCTGGAACATCATTTTATAGAAAATCTAAAATTAATATTAAAAAAACCAAATTATGAAATAGACTGGTTTCATAATTGACCAATGATCATTTCACATAGACTCTATGCCTTTCACTTTACATTTACAAGCATTGATTTTCCGTTATAACTATAAATCAAATGATGTGTTTTATTCACCTAATTTATTTTATAAAGTTTATTTAACAGCTTTAAACAACTTCCCTTGTACAATATTCACTACCATCTGAAATCCCCCTCCCTCCCTCACCCACCACCGCGCCGCTTGGCCCTTCCTAAATTGCAATTTCTGCATGAATACCTGCAGTCTGCAGATGAGAAATCTGTGTAAGAAAAGGTTTATCTCTCCATGGGGGGCAAACATTTAATTTTCTCTGTTCAATACTAAACCCTTTACTATAGTTTCAGTAGAAGTAAATATGTCCATTAACTGATATCGCCGATTGAAGCATTCATATCTCTAATTGGATAATGAGATGATAGATAGAAAGATAGATGTTACTGCCATATTATGTCTATTGGTTCAGAACAGACAACAAACACATGACTAAACCCTGATTGGATCACGCGTTAATGGACTCGGCATACAGAAGGAGGAGGCATAACCCCCCCTCCCCTCCACTCCTTTAAAAAACTAGTTTCCTCTAATGCATTTTCATCTCCTTGATCTCGACCCCCCCCCCCGCAGTCTCACTCCTTTACACATCGTAATGTTTGACCATGAACTCATCATATTTAAACTCTAAACAGTTATTGTACCTAATTTACAGATTATAAAACATGGTTATGCTTTCCTTTTTTTCTCTCTTTTTAGTCACTTTCAATGAAACCAATTGTTTATAATGCATTCTTTTTCTCCATCAAATCTTTTTCCTTATCCCCCTTTGTAACCATTCCCGCCCATTTCTCTTCACCTCTCCCCTTTCCCAATCCATCATCCCTTTCTTTTTTCTTCGTTTTCCTTCCCATTTCTCACCCCCCCCCCCNGGGGGGGGGAGGGAGGGTCAACTATTTGGTAGAGAGATATTTGGAAAGTGTAAAAGTTCACCGCAAAAGGTCTTCAGGTTCAGAAGAAACAACAATTTTGGATCAATTAAGAGAAATAAGGGAAAAGAGGAAAAAGTACAAAGTACAATGTATAAGAAAATGCAAAGATGCAAAAGAAGGGTGAAAAAATCGTCAAATTAAGAATAGATTAAAAGAAATAGGAAAAAGGTGAAAAATGAATGAGAATAAAAGGTGAAGAAAGTATATAATATCAAATTAAAAAGAAGAAAAAGGAATTTTAGAAAAGAAGGGGAAAGAATGAGGAAAAAATTTAAGAATGAGGAGGGAGCAAATGCAAATAAAGGAGAAAAATATTGAAGATATATATGAGTAAGGAAAGACGTATAACCGTAGAGAATGAATTAAATCAAAGAGAGAGAGAAAGCGAAGGAAAAAGATAAAAGTGTAGAGTCCTACAATCTAATGAGACAATACAGTTATAGTTTGAATTGAAAATAAATGATTACAATTAAAGGATAGGAAAATTCACGATCTTAAAAAAAATTCAAAATGTCACCTTTTTGCGCCGCTACCACTGCTTTATATAGACACCTAGTTTCTATATAAACTGGGTTTCAGACATTTCAACTTTCACTTCAGGATTATTTGATATTTGAGATCTTTTGTAATTGTTTAGAAACCGTATTTAATCATGTTGAATGTGTGTATATCAAACATTTTGTATTTTATTCATTCTTGATAAATATTTTATTACTTTTTACACTGTCATAAGAAACAATTATTTAGATTTCGATATTGTATAATGTTGGATAGAAAATTTATAGTGCTGCCCCCTCCCTCTTTCTCCAGTTTTGTTCACCTTAATGTATGCTACTTTTGTGCCTTCAGTGGCGTAAATAAGGGGGGTTATTGTCTTTCCATAATATGCTACTTTTGGAGGCACTTACTTTCCATAATATGCTACTTTTAGAGGCACTTACTTTCCATAATATGCTACTTTAGGAGGCACTTACTTTCCATAATATGCTAATTTAGGAGGCACTTACTTTCCATAATATGCTACTTTAGGAGGCACTTACTTTCCATAATATGCTACTTTAGGAGGTATAATTCGAGGCCCAATAATATCCACCGCAGTTTTTAGTGGTCCAATTTCTGCAATTCGTCGTGCTGCTCTAGAATTTTAGAATTTAATCTTTTTCTTTAAGGAATAATAATTTTTAAAATATGATAAATCAAATTTTCCATTTGTGACGTTAAATAGTTTTATTTAGTTTTTTAAGAAAAAATTTCAACTTTCTTTAAATTTCTAGAAATGGTATTTTTTTAAAACGATTATAAAGAATAATGCATTGAATTTTTAGAAAAAAATTTAAACCAACTTAAAAAAATTAAACCGAATTTCTACCTTTTCCCAGCAATGGCTTCTGCTGCATAGATGAGAAGTGAGTCAAGTTTGTCCACCACAAAGTCAATCAAACTCACTTCACTCCTGGATAAAGTCTTATTTTAAATGATTTTTAAAAATCCAGAAAAGACTTTACTTTAAAAGGATTGTCTAAGTCTATTGAATTTCAAGTAACCCTCCATTTAAAGAGGTGCATGTCCGATTAACAATGGTAACATTAAACCTATATCTTTTATAGCTTGCAAACTTGTTATAACTGACAATTTTCTCCATTGTTTCTGCAGAAGATTCCGCAAGTCACTTGGATATAAAAACCCCTATTTGAAAGTAATCTACTTTCAAAGTTAAACACATATTGTATATCTCAATCTTTTTTGATCATACAAAGCTTATACTGGTTAATTTGTCATATATGCCACTCTGTATTAAAGGTCGAAGGGTCATCTGAACTTCGTCAAAAAATCGATTAAAATCTGAAATATATTTTTTAAACTTAAACGTTAGTTATGTTCACAAATCACTATAAATCCCCTAAAAAGATGAATTTATTAGGCGTACAGTTCCGATTTGTCTTTTATAGTAATCTGTAGATATATGCCTACTGTACAACTTGCTTTAACTGCTTAAAATATGGCCCGTTGATTAAAATAAACCGGAAATTACAGTAAAATATTCCAGAGCAACCCAAAAACAGTCATAGCAGAAAATAACTCACTTTTAAAAAAGTACCTTGCAATGGGACCTAATCCAACAGCGTCCATAAGAGGTGCACTGAGGTCCATAACAACCCCTGTTACACCATCAAATGCTGCTCTTAGCAGTCCAGTATCACGCACCACCTAAAAGATTACTAAATTTACTGAACAGTTACAAAAATGTTTTGTTAACCGTTTTAGGCCTGATCGAACCCAAAAATGATAATTACCTCTGATAGATAAATGATTACCTCTACTAGTCCTGTATCTGTGTCCTGACTAATCCATTTGCAGTTAGATAAATAATTACCTCAACTAGTCCTGTATCTGTGTCCGGACTAATCCTTCTGTTAGATAAATAATTATCTCTACTAGTCATGTATCTACGTCCTGACTAATCCATCTGTTAGATAAATAATTATCTCTACTAGTCCTGTATCTGCGTCCTGACTAATCCTTCTGTTAGATAAACAATTACCTCTACTAGTCATGTATCTGCGTCCTGACTAATCCATCTGTTAGATAAATAATTATCTCTACTAGTCCTGTATTTGCGTCATGACTAATCCTTCTATCAGATAAATAATTACTCAACTAGTCCTGTATCTGTGTCCTGACTAATCCATCTGTTCGATAAAAAATTACCTCTACTAGTCCTGTATCTGCGTTCCTGACTAATCTTTAGTTATAAGAATAATTGCCTCTACTAGTCCTTATCTGCGTCCTGACTAATCCATCTGTTACAAAACTAATTACCTCTACTAGTCTTGTATATGTGTCCTGACTAATCCTTTTGTTAGATAAATAATTACCTCAATTAGTCCTGTATCAGCGTCCTGACTAATCCTTCTCTTAGATAAATAATTACCTCTACTAGTCCTGTATCTGCGTCCAGACTAATCCTTCTGTTAGATAAATAATTACCTCTACTAGTCCTGTATCTGTGTCCTGACTAATCCTTCTGTTAGATATATAATTACCTCTACTAGTCCTGTATCTGCGTCCTGACTAATCCTTCTGTTAGATAAATAATTACCTCAACTAGTCCTGTATCTGCGTCCTCGCTAACCCTTCTGTTAGATAAAACCTCACAAACAGTCCTCTGACTACATGCCTGTTATACTCCAGTTATAAACTATCTTTGTATAAAATTAAATATTGCTTTTTTTGCAAAATATTTGAAATACAATTTTCAGAAAATAAAGCTTGTTCAGAAGCTTATTTTTTTCCTGATATCATTTTTATGCATGTAAATTTATTCTTTCTGATTTTTTTATTTTTTGCTTCCTCCCCCCTTTCCTTCGTTGGTCATCTACTAACTGTGTTTGTACCCTGTAACCTTGCGTGGTTTGAAGGAAAGACTAAATTAGTATTTGAGCCCCGTAACTTCCAGTCCAAACCAAATTTATGGTTTTTCTTAACAAATCCAAAGTACGCTGAAAACTGTACATAATCCCTACCTATTTTACACTAATACTGCATTTTAACCACCTTTGTACACTACAAGTGTACATGAACCCCACCTATTGATACACTGATACTCCATATTCACCACCATTGTACGTGCTTAAATTGTGTACATAAACCCCACCTATTTTACACTAATACTGCATATTAACCACCTTTGTACACTAAAATTGTACATCAAACATACCCAAAGTAAGCGGTACTTCAAACCTACCCAAAGTACATTATTAACTTTACAGGAACAAACAAAAACTGTTCATGAATCCAACCATTGGTTTCCATAATAAACTAAACTATGCTAGCTAAAAAACTGTATTTGGAACCTAAATCGGTACATAGGATCAACCCAAGGTACGTTGAAACTGTACATGAAACCGAACAATAGTGATCCCTGTAACTGTACATGAAATCTCCCCATGGTACGCCAAAGCTGTACACAAAATGTACTTATCGTACGTCCTAAAATTGTACATAAAATCCAACCATAGTTTAATAAAACTTCACATGAAACGTCCACAAATTTAAAGCAAAAAACTGTACATAAAACCTGTCCAGTGTCCATGGTTCTATGTAAAAATACTGCATATAAACCAACACATAGTACACTTAATTTGTACATGAAAACCACCTGCATGAAAGACACTTACCCATAGAAAAAAGAAACTAAACAAAAATAGAAGTCATTCAACACTTCTGTCAATTTATAATCCGTTAAAATGCAATTTTCACAAATATTTTTTGACCCGGGGGTTTGCGTTAAGTGTCATTAAAGTTCTTTGTTTAGTTCGACCAAGTGAAATATAGAATTATTGGTAGTAAACAATAGTTCATGAATACCTTGACCTTCAACCAACCCTCTAAATTACCCCCCCCCCCCCTCACACCCTAAAGAACATAAAAAATTATTTTTACTGATACACATCGCCCTCCCACAATCTACCATTTTTCAAAAATTTCCCAACTCTTTATCCATGCTAATGCAAGGTTAACTCTGGATCCACCTACCCCCCCCCCTTTTCCACTACAACTCTTTTTTATCCTACTCTTTTCCAAATTTTCTCTTATACAAACTCGGTGTTATTTTAGAAACCCCATTCTTAAATCTGTATCCATTCAAGGCTTGCTCTGTCCCTTCCCCCCCCCCCCCCCTCTCTCTGTCGTTCCAAGTTCCAACTCTTTTTTATCAGACTTCATCAGTTTAAATAACATTATATGATAAATATGACCCCAACAAAACGAGCTGACAATGTGATAAACTCAACTTTTCTAGACCAGTTTCGAATTAGGTCATAACTGAACCCGGAGCTCGCAACTTTTAAATCGACGAAACCGATTCCAAGAAGAAAATGAGCTAAGTTTCAGTTATCATGCCACCTGAAGTTTAACTCATTTGAGTCGATTTAATTATTTCGATTAAAAAGTTGAAACTATATTTTAGTTCAGTGATAACGAATCAGATTTCAAGGCTCCCTTAGGATAGTAAAATGCAATAAATCAAAATCTAGTTTTTTTCCTGTAAATAACCATTCCTTTATAAAAAGCGGGTTTTTTGGTATGCAACAATTTTCAATTAATCCCGCCGGGATATTTTCATTGAAAGATACTTTGAAAATCTACAAAGGCAAAAAAAAAATCCGCAAAATCCGCAAACCCTCGGGTTTATCATTGAATCCCCTATTTAAAAATAAATGTCATTTACTCTCAGACAAATTAGAATCAATGGAAATTTAAACCCCCTCGGGATTCAATGATAAACCCGAGGGCGTAGTAAATGATACATTTCTTATACCACTTAGCTTGTCATAAATTAAGAATTACTAAATAGATAAATATATTAAATTATTCTGTTAGCTAAATGGGGAATTTTGATACGATAGATTTTAGCCATTTTTTATCTCAAGAAAAAATTCTGTTAAATCAAATAATCTAAGTTTAAAATATAAATGGTTTACACAATCAGAAGATTGAATTTGTAGCAAAAACACAGTTTCTTCGTAGTGCTGGACTCGTTTCTGACGGTTACCGCCAAGAAAGTTCGGTAAAAGAATCCTAAAATTTCGCACTAAAAAGTCCTGGGGAATAAAGTCCTTTTATTAAAAAATCTCCGGAAATAAAGTCCTACCAATTCGAGCCTTTATTTTCTAGGACTTTTTTTCTGGCTCCATTTATAATTTTATACAAAAAGTGAAGATGCATGATATACTCTGGAAGAAGTCTTCGTTGTAAACATCAATCAACATCAAAAATCAATGATCGTGGGTTTTCAGGGTCTTGTTATTAAAACACTCCTAGCTATATTCAATATGCAGATACATGGAAAAAGTTCTTTTTTGGAAAATAATTTTTTTGAAGAAATATAAAATACATTTCTTACATTTGTAAATATTTATCAAAAGTGTAGTTAGTATTTCCTTTTGCATTTTATTTAAGAATATGAAACAAGCCCTGTATATGAAGTACATACAAAGTACACTTGTAAGCAGAATTATGTACACACCTTTAATAGGACTTTTTTTTCTGCAGACTTAAATTACTGAGTTCAAATTTCCCGAGTCTTAGGACTTTTTTTCTAGGTTCTTCTTTTTCTCGGATTTATTTTCTTCCGGACTTTTATTCCTGTCATTTTTTTTCCTGAGGCTTAATTGACAGCCACCATGCTATTTTAGGAGAAAAACATAGGACTTTATTTCCAGTGATACTTTTTCCAATGACTTGAGAAAATTTGGACTTTTTTCCAGGGTTTTTATTTCCAGGTTTTTTTTCCTGAAACTTTTTCCTGGGACTTTCTTACATAGATTCGTTTCGATCATGTACAACTTAATATTCTGGTCACAACCCATTTATAAATTCATTTAGTTTTGATTAAAAACTATAAATCTATTGAAAAAAAGGAAAGAATTTATTTACAATAAACTGTTTCGACAATACACCTTAAGAACTAGTTTTATTGTAAACATGAAGCAATGAAAAAGGTAAACAAGGCTAATAATTTCTAAACATTGTTTACTAAATGTTGTTTGTTCACTATAAAACTACATCTAAAGCTTTTAAAATATGTCAAAGTAGAAAAAAAAGTATTTCTGTATATGTTAAATATATTCCGAAATGAAATGAACACTTGCCTCAACCTCTAATTTTTAACCTTTGGATCTTTGCAAACGTTGCATTTAAAACTTTGAATTCTGCTGAATCCACCGGGTTACAATCAGCATATAAAAATACAAAATAAGTATAATATACTTGGCTTTCAGAAAGCGCCATTGAATGTTAGATTTCAAGTTTTCAACTTTAAAATGTTGCTCTATCTACGGCATTCTCTCTTCTTTTCAAACCATTAACAAAAAAGAAGATTAATCGTTTTTTTTCGTGAATTCTAAAACATCTAGTTAATATTCTGAAGTTTTGGCCGGATCCGTTCAATCGTTTTGACGTTTATTGGAAACAAAACAAGAAACAAGCATTAAGTATTTATGTATATATAACTGCCTGATGTTTCATATCCACAGAGTGATATCTATCTATGACGCTTCGCACCCCACCCATCACCTCATCATCAGGACTAAATATATTCCGCACTAACTCACCTATAAACACAGAACAGAGATTAGAATAGCCAAGGAAAAATTGCCTATGAAAAGGAGTTCAAAGTGTACTATTTATAAACGTTTACAAATTATATGCAGTACATCATAATAATACAGTTTGATTCCTGGACATATCCGTTACAATTTCTTCTTTTTATAAAGTTTATGCTGAAATGAACTCGGGAATGAAATGCATCACAGGTTGTCAATGAATTGATTTAGAGAAAATGAAATAATTTTTAAGAAAAATTTGTTCAATAAAAAGATGTTCCAGACCCCAGAAGGTTATTTAGCACAAATGTGTGAAGTACACCTGCAGTATGGAAACAGTACAACAAAATGGCGGTTTTTCACTTTTTTTACTTAATTCCACTCAATACTTACCTCTTCTCTTTGCCTATAAATAATAAACATGCATATACATAGACAAAACCATAATGTTTTGTGAAAACCAAAAAAATTGGAAATTACGATCAGAATGTTCGGAATAACAACATTTGTGAAATATCCTTTTTTGCCTCTAAAATAATTTTCTTATAAACTTTTTTATATCAAATTTAGTTTTAAGCATATTGTTTTCCTGTTGGTCAAAATTTGACTGTTTGCAAAAAAAAATCGATTTTTTTAAAATTTTGTTGCCGTTAAACTCCGACCCCGGAGATCTCAAAATCGGAGATGGTCACTTTCATAATTATCAAAAAATTGTCCTTTTTGTTTTGGAATAACCCTAACATTCTGTTAAAAATTTTGTACAAAATGCTAGTAATTTTCTCAAAATTACAAACAAAATTTTAGGGTTTCCTAAAACAGTATGTCTTGACAATGAGGAGATTTTTTTAAAAATGCAAATTTGATTTTAAGAATGGGGTGGGTCGGATATACTCTTTTAACGATGTGCATTGTGATAAGCCAAGAAATTGCACTTAAAAGAAAGTTTATAACATACATGTTTAAACTAAAATCATTTTGGAAAAATCTTAAATCTTTATTAAAGCAAAACTTTCAAAACTTTTAACGCTTGAACAACTTTTTTAACTGAAAATCTATCTATTTTATCAAATATGATCTTTTCCACAGTTAGTTTTCCTCAGATCTTTCATTTTAATTAAACTTTAAATAAGTTAAACTGTATATATTTATATTTCCTATAAGGTTACTTCTCCTATAAAGGAATTGAGTCTTTACCATAAACTCAAATATTAAAACCCCGATGTATTTTAAACCCAATGTTGTAAACCATTGATATTTCAAACTCAGACTATTTGATCTAACAGAATTCATAGTTTGAAATATTTAAAGTTTACAACATTTGGTTCCAAAGATATAGTGATAAGAAAGTCAGAGTTTGTGGCACAGACTCAATTCCTTTACAATTCCTATAATTGCATTTTCTATTATTACATTTTCTAAAATTTGTATTTCCACATTTATAAATTAATTTCAAAAATGTAGCCGCAGAGCTCGGCCCCCTATAGCCGGGTCTTAACGCGGCCCTCGGCCCAGAAATTGTGTGAACACGTAAACCAACGTAATGTGTACTTATCGGAAGTGTAATTTTATATGAAATGTACTTACGGCAAGTGTAATTATAATAAGTGGAATTATAATATTTATAATTATAGCAAGAGTAATTATATAAATCTGGAAAATCAAGTTTTTAAATAGTATGTTTGTTCCGAGGCAAATACACTGAGTTCCCCACAAAGGATAAGTTATGAGACTTAATGAAGAGCTGAAACTCTTCACGTATAACGAGCAAAGAATAAAATTAGTTCTTTTGCAGACTTTATATCATATATATTATAGTTTACAATAAAAAGTTTACAATAAAAGAAAACCAAGAATTTGAAAGAGGACTTGACGATTTGCGTACAGTCGTCTGTAAGTCTGAAGTCTCATCCTTTGTGGGTAACCTTGTATAACTTATATACTTCGACAATTTAAATTTTCTTAAAAGGTTTATTAATGTTCCCAGATTGGTCACATGTGAGTGTGACACATAACTAAGTTTTTCAAATACAACATTTATCATACATCATAGATAAGACATTTCATAGATAAAGACATTTCATAGATAAAGACATTTAATAGATAAATACATTTCATAGATAAGACATTATATAAATATGACATTTCATAGATGGGACATTTCATAGACAAAGACGTTTCATAGACAAAGACATTTCATAGATAGGACATTTTATAGATAGGACATTTCATAGATAGAACATTTCATAGATAAAGACATTTCATAGATAAAGATTTTTCATTGATAGGAGATTTCATAGATAAAATATTTCATAGGTAAAGACATTTCATAGATAGGACATTTCATAGATAGGACATTTCATAGATAAAGACATTGCATAGATAGGACATTTCATAGATAAAGACATTTCATACATAGGACATTTCATCGATAAAGACATTTCATAGATAAAGACATTTCATAGATAAAGATTTTTCATTGATAGGACATTTCATAGATAAAATATTTCATACATAGGACATTTCATAGATAAAGACATTTCATAGATAAGACATTTTATAGATATGACATTTCTTTGTTAGGACATTTCATAGATAGGACAATTCATATATAAAGATTTTTCATAGATAAAGACATTTCATTGATAGACATTTCATAGATAAAGACATTTCATAGATAGGACATTTAATAGACATAACATTTCATAGATATAAAAGATTTTTCATGGACAGAGAAGATTTTTTTACGAATGATATTTTTTTTTCTTTCTTTTCATCTTAATATTTTCCCTTGTCTATGAAAAATTTTCTCTGTCTCTGAAAAGTCTTATCTATGAAATGTAGGCCATGTGTTCCTTCTACCGTGTAAGAGAAACAACTGAGAAGTTGCAGTTCTTCCAATTATATTTTGCGGATTTTTAACAATTCACTCGAGCATTTTCATTAAACAAAAGTATTGTGAGTGTCCTTTCTATCAAATATCCTATACATTAAATATCTTTCTATGAAATATCTTTCTATGAAACGTCTTTCTATTTAATTTCTTTCAATAAAATGTCTTTCTATGAAATGTCTTTCTATGAAATGTCTTTCTATGAAATGTCTTTCTATGAAATGTCTTTCTATGAAATGTCTTTCTATAAAATGTCTTTCTATGAACTATCTTTCTATGAAATGTCTTTCTACTTTTTTCTAATATATTATTGTGGATCGTAAGAAGGTGTAAATCAAGTACAATATTGAAAAGGTAAAAGTACATCTCTGGAAAATTCCAATTTTAAAAACTAAATGTCCACGGTACACAAAGTTACATCTTTTACAAATTTTGGAGTTTGATGAACAAAAATTTTGCAAAAATATTGTGAACAATTTTTGATAAAAATAATTTAAAGGTAGTTTGGCATTACGTTTACAGTCCCTTTAATCAAACTTATAAATAATTAATTAAATCAAAATAAATTTAGATCTTTCCTAACATAAAAGAGGAAAACCAATTGATGTCAATAGACAACAGTTTTCGAAATGTTATGCAAATATTCACAGGTATTAGATAAAATTGCTAAAAAGGGGGGGAATGAAGATGGGCGCCCCCTCCCCCAGAAAAAATTGGAAACTTCCCCTGCCTAATAAAATGGATATGTAAGAAAATTATTGTGGGAAAAGTATACATTAATGAAAAATAGAAAAATCAAACAAACATTGCAAAAAAACCTTTTTTTGTTAAAATATACCATTCTTAGAAATAGAATGCTTTATTTTCTTATAAAAAATATGTTTCATATTTTTTTCAATTCAATTTTATAAATTTTATTACAGTTGCAACGTTTTATAACAATTACTATTCTGACATATATGTTGCTAAAACAAGTCAATTCGCAATTATCGTTTACACATACGTGTGTATAGTTAACAGTGTGTTTGATTTCAATTTCTCACTTGTTGAGTGCCATAGGACTAAGCCTTCTAAAAACTAAAAATTAAACGTTCTGAATAAACGACTTTTTACATATCAGATTCAGTGGAACTACACATCAAATTTTCATAGAACAAAATTCTTTGAAAAATCAAAATTTAATGATATGCGCTAGATCCCCATTTTCATTTTTTATTTAACGAAAAGTGCATCTAACCTATATGTTTGTTAGACTGTTTTAGGTCAAAAACGCCTGGACAAGAAAAATAGTGATTAATTTAAAGAGATATGTTTTTTTCATTACCGCGACACACCATCAATTTCTAGTCTAACAAATTTGAAGGTCATATATTTACTCTTAAATATAAGAATTACCGGGTTTCCACACTGCAAACAATCACATTGTTGTATTCAGGAGTGTAGGTACTAGCTAGACCGATAGAAAAAAAACTAACATCTGTTTGGAAAAATTAGCATTCAGTCAGTTTAAAGAAAATCAGATGGTTTCACTAAATCAATGATCAAAGATAAAAATAAAATACAAGGAACTCAATTATTGAACATTTCAATAAATTGACAGTTTTCACTTTCTCTATTTTGTCTGGTATACTGGTTGTGATGTGCCTCGATTTTTTAATTGATCATATTTGTAGATTTACAATCACAACGCACCATTTAAAGACATTTGTGCGATCAAGAATTAATGAGATATCCATGTTTTTAACTTTGAACATTGATTATTTTCACATGGTGGTTTCTCTACAAAAGTGGATAAAATGTATAGCATTAAACACTAAAAACTGTGACGATATTTTCCATATTTTTATCAGATTAAGCCGTTTGCCGTTGTGAATTGCAGATATGAAATGATGATCACGTGAAATAACAGTAAATAAATAAATAAAGAGATGCTAAAGAACTAGAAAGTTAGATGTTTAGTACCCCACTAAAAAAAACTTTACCCCCCCCCCCCCCCCTCTCCCATTTCCGAAACAAAAATTCTTCAGGATTCTGTGTTTAAAAATAAGCGCGGCCTTATTGTTATGCTAAACCCTATTGTTAAATAATTCGAATCGTTTAGAACTGTTCTGCCTTGATTTGAAGAAATCCACGAAAATGGTTGAAACAAATTCTCCAAAGTACATCCAATGATAAATATTTTGGAAACTATTTGTTTTTCTTTTTGTGTTGTGAGTGTAAGGTATGATCCTACCTATTTGTATAGGTGGAGTTTGTGCAGTTGTAATCACAAATAATGTGAACAATAAAATCACAAGAATTGTTGTGAGTGTTTTCATGGTAAGGTGACTAGAACCACTGAGAAAACATAGGTCAAAGCCATGCACGCTCAACCCCGGCCAATATATCAGTTACTACGCAGCCGGTATCCTTGTATACATATATATAGCCACTACGCAGCTAGTATCCTTGTATACATATATATAGTCACTACGCAGCTAGTATCCTTGTATACATATATAGTCATCACGTAGCTAGTATCCTTGTTTACAGATATATAGTCACTATGTAGCTAATATCCTTGTAGGTGTATAGGTCATTTCCCCAGCACAACTTCCCCAGCACAATTTCCCCAGTACAACTTCCCCAACAACAATTTCCCCAGCCGCTAATTTCCCCAACAATTACTTCCTTAGTCACAAATTTTCCCAATAGCAACTTCCCCAACCGCTAATTTCCTCAACAGCAACTTCCCAACACCAATATCCCCATGCAGTAATATTCTTAATTTCCCCAACAGCAACTTCCCCAACAACAATTTTCCCAATATGCAGTAAAACTCTTGTATAAAATGAAATAATTAAAATATATTAACAATTTATAAAAAATTTACATACTATTTAAAATTACACATAACTGAATTCTCAATATCTGGCCGAGCATTGTCTCAGGAAATCAATTTTTTCCATGGAATTGTAGTTCCGACACAAGACTCGTATAATTCGTCCATTCTGTTCATGTTCGACTTTCGAAATTACGTGATTATTGATAAATGAATAATATTAAAGAAAAAAAACTTGAAAATTCTAGAAACATTAATTATCAGAAAAAAGTGAAATTTAAAAACTGGTATTTTCCCATTTGTGTAATGACGTTTTCCACTCTCTAAATTATTCTAAACAATTGGGTTGAACAAAAGAGGGAAAGAACGGGAAAGAGAGAGAAACAGAGAGAAAGAGAGAAAAAGAGAGAGAAACAGAGAGAAACAGAGAGAAACAGAGAAAAACAGAGAAAAACAAAGAGAACCTGAGAGAAACAGAGAGAAACAGAGAGAGAAACAGAAAGAAACAGAACGAAAGAGAGAGACAGAGAGAAACAGAGAGAAAGAGAGAGAAACAGAGAGAAACAGAGAGAAAGAGAGAGAAAGAGAAAGAAACAGAGAGAAACAGAGAAAAACAGAGAGAACCTGAGAGAAACAAAGAGAAACAGAGAGAGAAACAGAAAGAAACAGAGAGAAACAGAGAGAAACAGAGAGAAACAGAGAGAAAGAAAGAGAAGGAGAGAGAAAGAAAGAGAAAGAGAGAGAAAGAGAGATAAAGAGAGAGAAACAGAGAGAAACAGAGAGAAACAGAGAGATATAGAGAGAAACAGAGAGAAACAGAGAGAAACAGAGAGAAACAGAGAGAAACAGAGAGAAACAGAGAGAAACAGAGAGAAACAAAGAGAAACAGAGAGAAACAGAGAGAAACAGAGAAAAACAGAGAAAAACAGAGAGAACCTGAGAGAAACAGAGAGAAACAGAGAGAGAAATAGAAAGAAACAGAGATAAACAGAGAGAAACAGAGAGAAAGAAAGAGAAGGAGACAGAAAGAGAGAGAAAGAGGGAGAAAGAGAGAGAAGGCGAGAGAAAGAAGGAGAAAAAGAGAGAAAGAGAAAGGAAGAGAGTAAAAGAAAGAGAAAGAGAGAGAATGAGAGATAAATAGAAAGAAAGAAAGAGAGAAAAAGAGAGAGAAAGAGAGATAAGGCGAGAGAAAGAGAAAGAAAGAGAGGGAAAGAGAAAGAAAAGAATCAGTAACATTTTGTATTGTACATTTTCGTATAGTAACATTTGTAAAGGTAACATTTAGTATAAGTAACATTTTGCTTAGGTAACATTTCGAATAGATAACATATTGTCAAGGTAACATTTCGTATTTGTAACATCTGGAGTAGTTTTTTATATAATTGTAAAAAAATCATCTAATATATGCTATTTAATAAGCGATTGAACATATTTTCTTATTTACCGATTTATTATCAGATTTCAGGCATTTTTAATCAGGCAGGATGCTAAACTGTTCAGCAAGTAATGTTACGCACAGGTCCAACAGTTGACAGCAGTCTTTATGATATTTGTTAACAACTATGGCACCCTTACCCTATTGGCGATTACACACTTAGTGAGTCTATTCAGAGACAAGGTTTTGAAAATGTTGTAATTTGACGGATTTTCTTCATCATGGTTCCTAGATTTCTTTGCAAAATTTCTCATGGGTAATTGTATACGAAATATTAGGTTTTGTATAGTATATTTTTGTATAATAACATTTCGTATAGTACACTTTGTCCAGGCAACATTTGGTATAGGTAACATTTTTCATAGGTATCATTTCGTATAGGCATCATTTCGCATAAGTAACATTTTGCATAAATAACATTTTGTATAGGTAACATTTCGTATAGGTAACATTTCGTATAGATAACATTTTGTATAAGTAACATTTCGCATAACATTTTTCGTCGTCATCATATGAATAATTTTTAAAAAATCGATTCTCAAAACGTAACCACCCAAATGGATGATTTTGAACGTCGCCTTTGCGCTTAAACTCAGTAATTATACATCAATAAAACGATATATGTCTCAAATTAATCATAAAAAATATCTCCACAATACTACATTCTCAGTTTAAGTACCATACATTGCCGGTCACTCCCTTTAAGAAAACTAGAATGAAAGAAAACCTTTGAATGCCTATATGACCAGTTTAATCCTCAGAACTAGCTCAAGTTCATTTTGCTTCACTTTCTTAATGGATTGTTCTTGTAACTTCAAGTGATCTGTTATTTAAAGAGGAATATGCCCGATTTTTACAGTGGTTCCCTTTAAACCTGCCTTTTTTCTATCATCAGTGACAGATTTCCACAAGTTATTTTTACAGTGGTTTCCTTTAAAACTGCCGTTTTTCTATCATCAGTGACAGATTTCCACAAGTTATTTTTACAGAGAAACCACAATTGAAAATTTTCAAGTTTTTTAAAGTGAAAATCACGAAAATTTATTATGAGCCAATTGAAAATATAATGTTTGATACTTTTGTTTGATAGTTTTTGTTGAAACAAAGTATGCATATTGAAATCTCAACTAAATATACATTCATTGAAGTAGATAATTAGTCAGCACTCAAAAAATTTAAACATTTTAAGGAATGCATTCATTGAACTTATAAATACATATTGATTCAGCAAAAGTAACAATGTATTCTCGTTGACTGTAGTAGACTTTGACATCTACCATTAGCAAAGGGTGTGAACCCATTCTTGTTGACTGTAGTAGACTTTGACATCCACCATTAGCAAAGGGTGTATACCCATACTCGTTGACTGTAGTGGACTTTGACATCTACCATAAGCAATGGGTGTGAACCCAATTTTGTTGACTGAAGTAGATTTTGACATATACCATTAGCAAAGGGTGTGAACCCATTCTTTGTTGACTGTTGTACACTTTGACATCTACCATTTATTGGTTAATTTTGATGTTAAATAAAAATAATTTTTTTTAAGTTTTGACAAAAAAAAACTATATATTTGGTTTTTTTTTGTAACAGTTCGTTAGCTTAAAAACTGGAAAACTTTTATTTTCATCTGATAACGTTAATTCGAGTAATCTTTCATTTATAGAGTTCCACAATAAACCCTTTAAACCGTCGTCTTGGCAAAAATAATATCCTTTTATTTTGCACTGAAAAATATTTATATTCACATGTGTTTCTCTAATAAAAGTGACTTGCGCATTCAGGGGGGTTTGAATATAAATAGATTGTAAATTGTACAGTAGAGATTTTGAGAAAACTGAATAAAATGGCTTGAGGTACCGTTGTGAATCGTTTTAATTTTGGAATTATATAAAATTATGTCGAGAGTCCCCTAAATTCTCAATTTTTAGAACAAATATATTTATGCGGATTCATGTTTTATCGATCCGAGAAACTTTTAGAAAAATGTTGTCGCCAATTATTGAATAATTTTGCATATTTTGTAAAACTAAACATTCAAAAATATATAAGCAAATATAAATTACATCATTCACATTAAAATGTTGTTTATAAATCTTTATAATCTAATACAGGGGACATTAGTTCCAAAACTAACACTTTGCCCATTTCTAACACTGAGTTTTAGAAATGGGCACAATATGAAAGACTGGATTTTTGGGATCCCGGCCCATATCCAGAGTAAAAGTCGATAATAAAAACTATAACCAACATTTAAATAAACATGACGAGGACAACAATTCCCAATTTTAAACTTTTTTTAAAATCAAAATTATAATAAGAGTTGTTTTTAAATTAAATCTTTTAACCGTTTTCAAGACAATATCAGGTTTTCCATTTTCGAACATATCCTGAATTTGAAACAGTGTCGCGTATTCGAGACAAAACCAGCTTTCCCGTTTTTAAGTATAATCCACAATTCAAAACAAAACTCACTTTCAGAACTTACAAAATAAATCACTGAAAACAAAAAAATTATCTTATGAAGACTAATTAACTTCTGAATTATTTCATAGAATCTAAGTTTCCACATTTTATCTGCTAAATTAGAGAATTTGGATGATTTATTTTCAAACATTGTAAACAAACAGTTTCCCGCATTTCTAGTTAATTCTATATTGTAAGAACAAATGATATTAATATTTTGATTTCTCAATGCTGTATTGGTTTTTAAATTATAAAAGAACAGTTTGTTTTATTTCCTATTTTGTTTATGTTTTACCTTATCAAAAAATCTTGTTATGTTTCATAAGTGCGTAAATACTTGAAAATTGACATTGATTGTTTCAATAAATAGTTTTTTTTTAATAAATATACGATGTAATTTTGTTCTACTCGTCTTGGATTTAAAGATATATACCCTTGAAAAAGATAACTTTGCAGATTTGGCCCATGTCTAATACTACTTGTGAAACTAATAGTACCTGTATAATATGATATCAAAAAACGGAAAATGTTAATTAACTATTTATAACACTATTATTTTGGATTTTTATATTATATTTTGTCCCTTACTTTTATGAAATGTTT